AAGACGGGGGTTTATATGGGACTTTCTTCTCTTTTCATTATTGGATTAAACCCCACCCTACCCTTAATCCTGCACCAGGAACTGTGCAAGCAGGGAGCTATACCAGTCTGGAAACCAACTGGAGCATAAAACCCCGGTTACTGTTCCTGCATCTGACGGTCACGTTGCGCTTTTGGGTCGCTCCTGTGACTCTCTGCTGATGGAGCTCGGCTGCCCCCGCGCCCGCCGTGTCCCCAGCGCTGCTGCGGGGCTGTCGGCTGGGGCAGCCTGGCCCAAGGCGATGCCTGCAGAGCCCCAAGGATCTCCTTGCTCAGAGACACCCCCAAAAACTGCAGCCCAGGAGCAGTGGTGTTTGGGAGGTGTTTTGGTAGAGGGGAAAAGTTCTTTTTCAAAATCATGTTGTACTTGTGGGAACTAAGACAGTTTTTCGCCTGTTTTTCAGGCCACCTGCCCTGAGGATGTTTACAAACGAAACCAGGACAATTATCTTGAAGAAAAAAACAAAACGGGGAAGAAAAAAGGGGAGAGCACTTAAAGCTGCCGGCGGGAGCTTGATGCCCTGGACTGCAACTCCCTGCCATGGCCCCCCCCCCATCACCCCCACTTTTAATTACAAGCAGTCAAACTGTAATGACCTTAATGGACACCTTAATTATTGCATTAAAGTTTGAAATGGAAAATTCCTCATTACGTGCCATGCAGTAGGTCACGGCTGCAATAAACGGTGATATTTTGCTTGTTACAGAGCTGGGTGCCCTTTGCAGAACGGTGGTGTCTTTGGGGCATGTCCCAGCCCCGGGGAGCTGGCAGGTGGATGTTAGAGCAGGTCTCTGCTGTGAGAGCATCTGCTTGTGTTTTCAAGGCGAAAGTATCAGCAAGAAGCGCTCTTTGCTATTTCTTTTCTCCTCCAAATAGTGCTGTTTTTTCTCCTGCGTTTTGCTTTCCATCTGCTTGAATGTGTTTATTGATTTAGTGTTATGCAAACTGCAATAAAACAGTATCCTTCCAATGCTCTAGAGCCAGCTATTGAATATGCCCCAAATATTTTAAACACAAACCGACCCATCAATTCCAACCCGCAGCAGCAATACAACGTACCTGTGATTAATCAGCCTTTAAGCCCAGTCCCTTTCGCACCGCCCCAGTCCCTGCTTGCTCAGGACAGGCTGGAAAGCTGGGAGCCAGCCTGACAGGCAGGGTAGCCCTGGGACCCAGGCAACTTAAGGAACATGGCAGGGCTCGTTCTTTTCTCTCAGGCTTTACACAGGATACCACGAAGAACAGGGCAGGGTTTAAGGTGGTTCTGTGGCTTCTTAGAGCTTTTCGGGTCAAAATAGCTCAAGTGTGTACGTCAGAGGTTGTCTATACCTTTGTAGGAGGAGCAAAAGGACAGCAAAAGTTGAGGGCATCTTGCATCCTGCTAAATTATCTTCAGCATCGTTTTCATACCACAAATGTTCATGTTGTATTTTTTCCGAGCATGTTGAGGAGAAAATTAGTGGATTCTGCAGTCCTTAAAGGTATTTTCTTGATTACATGACCCTGCAGACGAGGTTTTAAAATTCCTTTGGTGGCTCTTTCTCCTTCTAAAATGCGCTCCCAAACTTTTTCTTCCCTCCCCGTAGTCACTGCCCAATTGCCAGATGAAGAAGAGGGAAAGCGACCGCTGGCACAGCAGCTCCTGGGCCTCCCCAGCCACCCGCCAGGGCTGCTCCTCGGTGGGGCCGGGCTCCACTCGCTGCCCAGCGGTGCCAACCGTGCCGGCTCTGCCAGACAAACCACCCGCACTGCCCATGCCAGCCGTGCCAGCCGTGCCAGCTGTGCTAGCCATACTAGCCATACCAGCCATACCAGCCATACCAGCTGTGCCAGCTGTGCCAGGGCCAGACTCAGCAGCTCTCAGCCACCCAAGAGCTGCCACATCCCAAATCTAACAGCTCCCTCTGTTGGCATCTGTTCGAACCTATCAGCGAGGATGCAGAGAAGACAGCAAGGTGTTGGTTTTTAGCACGATCTCCAGGTTCAGAAGGCGATCTGTCTGCCGGGGAGTACCTCACCCAACCAAAGACCTCTTTCGTGTGTGTTGTCACTCTAATGACTGATACTGGGCCGTGTCCCCTGACGCTGTGCTGACCACAGCTCTGCTGAAGACAGCTTTTCCGTCATTTTTCCGAAATAAGCGGGAAGAAGATGTAGCTGGATGTACCCTGAGGTCCGACGTACAAGTACACACAAGGTTGCTGTGAAAATCTGCCAGCCCAGATATTGTCCCAGCCCAGATATTGTCCCAGCCCAGCCTCCTCATCCCCTCACGCCAGGAGTTAATCACACTGAACGTACTGGAGCTCTGTCTGTCCCTTACTGATCACACAACCTAGCACCTCCCCATTCAAAGGAAAATCAGACAGTGCGCAAATGATAGGCTGCCTTTATTTTTTTTAGGTCCTTCCACAACAAAACCCTCTCAGACAGCAAGCTTTGGCAAGGATGCTTCAACAAATAATAGTACAGCTATGTAAAATGGTTTCAGTACTTCGCCAGAGGTACGCACGTAATGAAACCTAAGCCTCAGATCTCTAACTTATTAGCCAGTTTACACACAGACAGATAATCTGGACGGCCCACCAAAGCGTTAGCTGGGTTTACAAAAAAAAGGCACAGCCAGCAACGTTGGCTTTCTTTTGAAGTTCCAAATTTCCCAGCTTGCAGAGCCAAGGGGTGGCCAAGATGCCTGGCTTGAATGCAGGTGATTTAAACCCATCAACTCTTCCACACGAAATGGTGCAACCAGCACAGAATTCACTCCTTGTGCGCCTGACCTGCAACACTGAACAGCCAGGGTAGATGTTAAAAAAAAAAAAAAAAAGGGGCAAAAAGGCCAAAAAGCACCTTGTTTTTTCCCTGTGTCGCTATAGAAAAGGCCGTGCAAACAATCCGCTCAGACTGGACGAGGGACAAGGCTGGCAGAGCTGTCTGCACGGCCTCGGGCCTCTTTGGCAAGCCTGGTTGCACTTGCTCCGTGTGCCCTCCCCATTCCACCCGCTGGTTTTAAGAGGCTTCCCGGCAGCGTGCGGGTGTCCTGGCTCTGCGGCAGCCCAGAGACAGGGTTGTACCTATGGTAGCCACCAGCCTTTTAGAGAAAGAAAAAGGCAGAGAAGGAGAAAAAAATACTTTCTTATCTCTCTGGCCCCCAATCAGGCCTCACTGATCCTATATTCTCTTGCGAAGACATCAGGCAGTTGTATCTTTATCTCTTAATACCCCCGGTAAGTAGCTCAGCTTAGCTTAGTGGCACCCATCGGTGTCTCTGCAATTAAAAGGCTGTCAGTAGTTTCGCTATGAACCCAGCTATTCAGAAACTTAACACGGCTCCAGCATCTCTTCCGAGAAGAAATTTGGCCAAATCAAAAGGAGAAGCAGGGGGTAATTTATTTTTTTTTAAGGACAATGAATCTGAACCTACAGCTTTCCTGCACGGCGAGGTCCCTTGGGAAATCTGCTCCCAGGACTCAGCTGAAGTTTCTTGGTAAGCACTAGAGGAATCAGAGAGATCCTTGCAGGCTGAAAGCAAGCGGTGGGAGGAAAAGCAATGAATTGCTTTAATATGAAATGTCACATTTAAAATAGATCCTACAAAACCAGAAACTGTAGGTTGGTAAATCCTTCCCTTCTAGAAATACTGTGGGTTTTGGTGGGAGTACCACTCAAAATAAGCATGCAGAATCAGGCCTCAAGTACACAAAATATAGAATTTGGTACTTAAATTTAAAAATATTTATAAATAACTTAAGACATTCAGGCTCAGAGGCGTGTACAGCCGAGTATTTCCCTCTGACACGGGGAACTGCAGGGATCCACACCCAGTGCAGGGATCCCCAACGCAGAAATTTGCTTTACGCTTCACGTAGGAATAAAACCCGCCCGTTGCAGACTCTTTGGAAAGTCTCCCGTGCCCCTTTGAGAGCACATGGAGAACTCGTCTAACCAAGCAGAAAGCATTGGGGAGTGTAGATCCATAGCACAGAACGTGACTTGTTCTTCCCATACATTCACAGCACATGGCAAAAGAGCTCCCGGGGATTCCTCGGCTGCACCTACCCCGCAAAGTCAGCCCAGCTAAGCCGCAGGTGCCTGCAGCTTTCCCCTGCTCCCACGTTGGAGGTGGTCTGCCTTGGCTCAGAGCTGGCATAAAGCAACCCAGGGGGGAGAGCGGGGAGCCCTTGAGCTCTGCCCTCGAGCCGAGGTGGGCTGAGCTGGTTGGAGCAGTCTGCCCTGCAGCCTCCCGGCTCAGCTCAAGCGCGGGGAAGGCAGGATGGATCCACCCTCATGCCCCTGGGTCCACGGGAAACATCCAGCCAGAAGACTTCCCCCGAAGGGAAGCCTTGACTCCATCTCACAACCCGTTCTCTTCCACACCCGGCTTGTGGCTGTGGAGCAGGCTCCAAAATGAAGGCACGAGGGAGGGTTAAGGTCAGAGGTACATTCGTTTGGATTATTCCTGTCACGTAGTTCAGGGGACACGTGTCGCGTGGCAGCTCGAGAGCCGGCCACCCTCCCTGCGGTCACAGGACAGCAGAGCACGGAGGGACGTGCCCCTGGCACGGCGAAGCAGCTCCCCTCAGTGAGCACCCGCTCCGGGGCAGAGCGTGCAAACCACAGCAGCCTTCGGAGACAAGCCGGGTAAGCTGCTTTGGCCACGTGGATGTTTGTCCACTAGACACAGACTGGGGCAAACTGGTCACACGGGTCGTATCCTCACTGGAGATGCCGAGCTGGACAGCTCTGCAGGCCATCAGCTATGCCCTGAGCAAAAAACGAACTCTAAATTTCTTTTCTCCCATGGGTTTCATCCAGACCCATTACGTACTTGGTCTCAGCAAATTTTTTTCCTGTTAAACACCTTAAAAAAAAAAAAAAAAGAAAAGTTCTTTGGCACTTGTGCAACAATGACACATAGACGTGACACTCTCCTGCCCTTGTGCTGCTCGCTGGACTCATCTCTAGAGGTCCATACATGCATAGTCTGTGTCCACCCTCTGGGCCTCTCCAAACACGAGGAAGGCACAGAGGCCAATGCTGTTAACAGCAGCCACCAGGTTGAAAACAGAAACCCAGGAGCCAGTCGTTTCGATCAGGTAGCCAGCCAAGTACACGCAAACCACACCTGGGACGGGAGAGAAGAGAAAGACATGCAAAGGCTCTGGGGCTGGATCCTGCCCGCCTGCGAGGCGAGGACTCCCCCAGAAAGGATGGGCTGCAGGAAGGTACTTTACCTAGGAGGGCTCCACCTGTGTTCCCAACCCCTGTACAGAAGAGAAAGGAATTGAGTATCAGAAACCCACAGACATGAGCGGCTTCACCCGGGCTCCCACCCAAGCCCTGGTCTGCAAGCACAGCTAAACCCCTTGCTGATGGCTGGGACCACCGGCCCACGTCCCCACCCCACCCCTCGGTGCGTTTGGGAGACTGAAAGGCACGTTCGTGCCGTTACCTGCCCCCGGCACCGGCAGGTATCTCACGGAAGGAAGGGGAGGCTGCACGTACGGAGTGGGTGTTGCACAGAGCTACTCCTGCTCAAACCTTAACGCTGACGACCATGTCCCCTCCCGTACACACCACCTTTCCAGCCCAACCAAAACCCCACCGCAGTCCTTACCGAACAACAAGCCAGCACACGAGGGGGCCAGATCCTGTACGTTGACTGAAATGCCACTGGGGAGAAGCAGAGAGGGGAAAACGGCTGTTTTAATGGAGAGCGGCTGCTTTTTCATCATTTACCCAGAGTTGAGTTTGTCAAACAAAAGGAAGGGACCCTAGGCAATAAATGGCACTGGCAGGAGGAAGGAGGAAAGAGGCTGAGAGTGAAGCAGCACAGGAGAGAACCGGGAGGGAAAGGATTCAACTCAAAGCAGTCAGAGAGGCCAAAACGCAACTCGCCTCCTGCTTCATCTCCCTGACACCTGCTGGTTCAAGCCCTTCCCCACGCTAGAGGTTTGCTGGGTCGCTTCCAACCCAGTGGGCACTGAACTCCACCAGCCTCACA